AAGAAGATTGATTCTTAAAATTCATATTAATGTGTGTGATTGTAGACGGGAAGATTGTCATTAAAGGCAGATAGAATGCTTTGACATTTAATAGCGATAATTTTGAAATCCTGGACGGCCGTCATGATACAGATAAAATGAACAAGCAACAAAAGACAGGCCAACACGTGAAGAAAAGAAAGAAATCAAACATAAAAACTTCATATATCACCTATTTTCCAGGTCTATCTTGAACCTAATATTAAACTGCCACTGTTTGGCTCGCAATTAACGCTTACGTGATTTTTTACTTTTTATTAGTGAGAAACGTAGCGGAAAAGCTCAAGCTATAAGTGCTTAAAGCGTTGTGATAAATTAACACATCCTTTTCTTTCAGAACGGGTGAAATCTTATTTTACTTCTCAAGAATTTAAAATCTCCCTTTTTCGGTTTGACGTAGAAGTGTCCTCGAGATGAGTTATCTGAAAAAAATATCTCTGTTTCATATCTTAAACTACTTTCGTCCTCTGTCTACAGATGTATGGGCAGCGATAAACGGACAAACAAGAGCAGAGAGAGAAAATAGACATTATTACAAGGGAAGGTGCCGAGATGCAACGTCCTTATGAACTTCGACACGACAAAAATGGCGGTTTGTCTGCAGACGGTTCACAATTATAAATCCCGATTTCTCCCAAGCAGACACTTGAACTCAAAACAAAATCGTAAAAACTCTTTGAAGTGATATCAGATTAAATCTTTCAGACAAAAAGGTCATTATGCAATTAAGTATAATACGATATTGTCTCTAGTAAAGGTGATGCCACACAAGAGAGAGGGAGCAGGGAGGGAGGGAACGAGAACAGCCTGAGATTGTTCTTCAATGGACATTATGGGATATAATTATTATGCTATACGTCGCCGCCTGGTGATTGAATGGGGTGATTTGTGCATTTGAGTGAGACTTTCCTTTCAGATGGCACCAGCTGATATCGCCTGTGCAATCCTATCTCAAGGTCTCATCCGTTTCTGCGTATCGTGAATAACTTTACAAACAGCCGCCTAACTTCCGTGCGTGATAAAATAATGCTTTTTATCTTGCGTTTCGGTTAAATGACAAGTCACAGCTAACAATGGGTGTCTTTTTGTCACCGGAATTCTTAAAAGATATGGATGCGAGATATCCAATGAACTCATTCAAGTAGAACGTTACTGCTGAGTGATATAATCTGTAACTCATCATTGCTGGGGCTATAGAGAAAAACCTCTCTCTCTCTCTCTCTCAGCTGTTACCCGTCAGCTTCAATACCAATATATCACAATTACATAAAACATACGCCAAATAATTCTCCATACGCCAAATATTTCTCCCATCCCTTAATTTTCCCAAGGGCTCTCAAAGAACAATTGCTCCTTAAACTGTCACTTCTTTACGAACCACCGCTTCATATATCCAAAAGATTAATCACAGCATTTTGCAATTCTCATAATGGCATATTCATCGAGGTTTATTGCAGCTTGGTGCCTATAGTAGGCCCATTATACGGTATAGAGGTTGACATAATGGGAAATCGGGGTAGCTTTTTTTAATGGAAAAAGGTCAAAGAAAATGAGCAGTGTTGACCTTGATAAAGAGGGGGGGGAGGTGGTCGTCTAAGGAATCGCGAAAGGTTAGTAACGGTTCTTGAAAGTTTATTGCTGGAAATTTTAGTCAGTCGCTTTAGAAGCAATTTTTTCGCGTAAACCCTTACTCAAAATGTTGAATTATGTGACATGACGTTGTGTGCTTGAAACAATTGTCCCTCATACAGTAACACATCTTTTTATTCACCGATGTTGAGGAAATCTCAGGGATGTTCATAGCAAGGACACATCTGAGATATCCAAAACAAGAAAGGCTGTAGAGGACGGCAAATACTACCAATGACAGGCTGACAAACTAGTCATAAAGAAGAACAAATATTTGAAACTAAAATTTTCAATTTTGAGAATTAATCTCAATTAAAGATACTTAAAATGTAAATTGTTCCTAAAGAGATTATAATCTTTTTTTTTACCAATGAAGAATAACGTTTCGTTATCCATCGTCATCGTTGTCAAGAGACAAGACAAAAAGTTGTTTCAACCAATATTTACATTTAATATCTAAACGGACCACTATATGCATTTTATCTTGCACGGAAATAGTTTTCTTTCTTTTTATTTTTTGCAATTTTTTGAAACCGGTCCCTGACACAGTACCCGATATGATCTTCACTCATCAAGGAAGGGGAGGGGCGGGGTCCGGGGAGAAACACGATTGAGGCGGGCCGCCAGGAAGACTGATCAATTCCACGTTTGGCTTCCCTATCAACACCAATTACGACCCCAGCATTCTGTGCTTTACAGAGAAATGGGGGTCCATTAGCGAGGGAACAATGCACAGGCCCAACAGTGTTAGAACTTATTTTTACGATTGTGTGTGTGTGTGTGTGTGTATGTGTGTGTGTGCGTGTGTGAGCAAGAGAGAGAGGAGAGAGAGAGAAGGTAGGAGATGCAGAGAGCATGGCGTGTCTATGAACAGGAAATCCTTGCAAATTCCTCAGATAAACTATCAAATTCCTCTTCCAATCACCCGGTTGTCTTTCGAGCGTGCATGGGTTTGTGTTAACTACCACAGGTTATAGAAGACACTTGAACATTGAGAGCATTCTTCAGGAACAACCCACTTCACTTCACCCATGCCTGTGGCCCCAGCAAAATTCCCCTTTCCCTGAACACTGTATTATGAAGAAAGCCATAAAGTATCCACGTTCAGGGCATGGTGGTTTTTGACACCGGTCCATGATGTGGATAGACATAAAGAAACCCTGGGCCCAGTAAATGGGAAGATCGCAGGTAGATAGTGGAGTACAAATTCCGGTGCCTTATTGGCAATTTCAATCGCCGTGTTCGACTCCGGTCCGCTGTGTTCAACTAATTCGATATAAATGAAGAACTGTCTGCACCCAGTCTTAGTATATTTGTTCTATCCTTGTCCCGGTGTGATATTATGATTTGTGTGGAAACTTGGTATTATTCATTCAAGGTGATTGGAATCGCATAAGTGATATATTCATACTGGTCACAAAATAGATGGAAAAGAGAGATGGAAAGAGAACAGAACGAAACGAAACACATCAGTCTTCCTCTATTTCTCCATTTAAATTACACTTAGAAATCTCCCTAGAGTTCGCACTGACTTCAATGACGCAAATATTCGCTTGTAAGTACCAATAACTTCAATAACTGGCATCGGGGATTCCCGTTAACAAGTCGCCCAAGTAAATGGCAGTCTAAGGTCGGGCAATAACACAGTCGGGGCGGGTTTTATGGCCGAAATCTCCGGCTCCAACGCAAACTGTGCGAGACCAGTAAATGCCAATAGCAAAGGCTGATAAGACCCCTTAATACGGCCAGACAAAAGGGAATGGTGTAATTTGGAAAATTTACTGCTCTCCCCAGGGCAGTGTTGTTTCTTTGGCCTTTGAAAGACTGCGGCTCCCTCCGGCGCCGTGTCCTCACCGTTGGTGACAAAACTGGGCAGACGACAGAATTGGAAATAAAAATTGTAAGCAACGGCGGAGATGTATTGGAAACCTTTTAGTGTGTGGGAGAAAGATAGTAGAATAGTTCTTTGAGGAAAGTGAAAGAAATGTTGGTAACGCAGAAGAGACCAGATTTTTTTTTTAATTGACGCAAAGTGAAGAATTTTTAGATGATATTTTTTTTCAAAGACAAATTAATTTAAATATCTGTCGTCTGTACCTTTCAGACGACATCATAACGACGTCAAAAATACCTGATGTTGCAGCGTAATAACCAGGCACATAACATGGCACAGCCATCCATATAATGCTACCATTTTTTTCTTACAACATACCATGGTGCGGCACTCACAAGTAACCCAAGCCCCGACTTCTGCTAATCAAGCTTCAGTTACATGCCCATTTATTTCTTTTTCCAGCCATCAACTTGTATTTATTTTTGTCACGCAGCGGGACGGTTAGAAAATTAACCTTGGATGCGCGCTTAATTCCAGTGCGATACATTTTAACGTGATCTAACGCGCAGTAATTTATCACCCAGCGTGAAATATATATTTGGGGTTAACGCAACGGCCGTTGAAAGTAACCCGAGCCGAGATTGCTGTGAAACTAAAACAGCGCACTAAAACCGTACTTTGACAGTACAGCCGCGGTAATAGATGGCGGAGTTATTGTGTGTCAGTGAACCGTGGAGTCCTCTCTTCTACGCCGACCCACCCCCTACCGGTTCGTTGACATAGCCCTTTCTTGAAACCACCGGGAGGAATTTTCACACAAACTCCCTCACCCCGTGATGCGCTCCACGGCCGATGTTAAGAGTCCTTTTCGAGTCCCCCTTAAATCCTCTTCACCATGTGCTCGACAAAACCCCCTGAGCAAACTTGGGGAGTTGTTGAAGTTCCCCTGCACAATTTACAGCACTAATGCGTCACGAGTTTAATTTTACATTAACTTGGCCTTTCTTAGTAATGTTATCAAAATAGTGATAAAACTTTTATACACTGGATTGTGTAGATACATGCTCTGTGTGAAAGTAACGAAAGTTTAAAGCAAAGTTGAAGATCGAACGCTCACAATGCACAATGTACACCGACTCGAGTCAACCTTAAACCTACGAGTCGACGCAAAGTAAACCTTTCTTTCTGCCCCGTTTGTTAACAAAACATACAATTCATTCTTCTTTTCACAGCATGCCCCATGCCTTCCACTAGAACGAACACGTTGAACTGCTAGGCCTCTAACGGAGGATAAAACCGACCTTTCTCTCCACTGTTTATTCCATACATTAGTCCATAATATAGCGTATAAACGAGGCGATTTATTAAATATTGTGATATCATATTCATTAGACTGCACAGGTCGAAGCGGGTGAGATTTGGAAAGGGGGGGGGAGAAGTCAATGGATGGATCTAGAGTTGATCATCGAGGGATTAGGAGAATAAAGATTAAACTCACCTTGCGTTTTCGTGACCCAGATAGTAAGCAGTATGAGTAGTATGTGAACCTCCATGGCTGTAGGTGACAGGGGACAGACCAGCTGCCCTTTGACGAGTCCCTCTCTCCTGCTTTAAGTCCACCTAATGTGTTCTTAGTTAAAATCCACTGGTTAAAATCCTACAACTCGGCATCAAACCATGTCTCGTCGTCACTGTTCCCCACACACTGGTATATAAATATTAATACCAATATATATGTAGAGAAAGAGAGCTAGAGCGTCAAGTCCACACGCTGTTTAAAGTGCTGTGTACGCGAAGAGCTCTCTGTGTGTTAATGTGTGTAAAGCCCAATGCGCCTCGTACTACTACAGCTTAACCAGCCTGCCTGCCTGCCTCGGCGTGATGACGTAGGCAGAAAGTTACTGACTTTTAAGCTTATTAGCGGAGCACTCCGCGCGGCGCCCGACTGTCGCAGTAGAGGAGATACGATATAAAAGGTTGTCTACCTAGGTCGGCTTTAACACAGTCACTAGCAGAGAGCTGGGAGATCGCCCCGCTAGATTAAAGGGTCTAGCAGCATTTATGTAAATTCCTTGGTCGCCCGCCCCTGAATCAGTCGAGGGGTAATTTGTTTGTTTTTTGAGGTAAAGAGGACTGAGTTTAAAGAGGAGTTAAAGAGAATTTGATATAGGTAACAGAGACGCGGAGGAAAGATAACGCTTTTCTTATAGACCTCGTTTACTTCTGGTTGAGCGAACGCTGTGTCAGTTCTCATAGTCGTTGTCACTATTGCGACTTTGTCAGCTTGTCACGGCGAACCTAGCTGTCGTCACTGAGAGGACACATTTGACAAATTACCCGTCCCCGCCTATGACTGTGAATGTGTTGAAATGGGCGACTGTACCGGCTATAGAAAAGGCCGGGTTTTTCATTTGAGACCATAAAACGATTCTTAAGTGGATGGTGCAGGGCTCCAACAAGGATTTTATATACAAAGAGTTATGGTTTTCGTCTAGCTGTCTCGACGTGAACTTCCATGCCATTTTTACCATGTAATGGTTACTCCTATCTGCCCATTTTTAAGGATTTTCCCAGGAGATTTTGATGTTATTCTTTATGCTTTTTCTTCGTGTCTTATTTTCATTATCTCTTTTCCATTTCTAAGATAATTACCGTGACTTTACAGTTGTTTCTTTTTGTCATATTTAAAAAAAAAACAAAAAAAAAAAAGAATATTCTTACAAATTCACTGCTCTATGAACAAAGAACTCTAATTCAAACGAACGGAAGCCAATAATAATAAAAGAACAGAAACAAAGACAAGATAAAAGTAATAAAGATAACACCGAAAACATAAAATATAAAAATGTAGTAAAATTCACCTAAATAAACAAAAAAAACTATCTAGAAGAGGCAAGGGCCTATACATGAAAGTATCTATACCTCCCAGAGAGTTTTATTAATACTTAATAATATCAAGAACGTGGGTTGAAGTGCACTTGGCTCTAGTTTGCTACACGCACGCGTGCAGTAGTCGGTTTATATAGTAATGTCCCTTGGCTGGATAACATGGCCTACCGCATGGGAAACTGTCAGCTGTCATGAGCTGCCACGAAATTACTAATCTCTCTGTAAATATGATAAAAGTTAACTACCTTCCAGTCTGACACGTGACGCAATTTCTTTACACTTTTTGAGATTAGAGAGTCTCGTAATTATTAAGACTAAGTAGTCGGAGTTCAAGATATGTCGAGGTGGCACCCCCAGAGTAAAAAAATGTAGAAATAGACTCGGGAAAGTTTTTTTTTTTTGAGAGGAGGGGAGTGAGGGTTGTATGATGCCTAATTCTAGCGAACGTTATCAACTCAGTGTTAATGTTAAATTCTTCAAGCACAGTAACCCTTTGTAATATGACAACTCACTTCTCGAGTGGCATTTTTACCAGCCCTTTTTCTTCGTCGAGTCGAGCAGTGGACCTTTCGCCAGTAAATAAATAAATGAATAAATAAATAAATAAATCATTGTTACATATTTATGGACTAGTTCCTGTAATTTTTTTATTTCTTCATTTTTTATTCGATTTATTTTATTTCTTTTCATTCACTGCGATGCATTTCACCCAAAATTACGTGAATACTCCAGTTATTTGTAATTTTTGAATATTCCGTTATCTTCAGTTTTCACTAAATACTTCACGGGAATCTAATTAAATGAAAGTTTTTATCTAAACATAATTGAATACCGTAGTCTAATTGGGTCTAAAAACAGGTAAGTCTTTTGAGTGTTGAGTGGCGAGAGGAGAGAGAAACAGAGAGGGGGTGGGAAAGGCGACCGCCCACTGTGCGCTATCCTTATCTGAACCTTATCTCGAGATAAAAGTCTCTGTACGGTGAGGGGAGTCTAGGGAGGGGGTCAGAAGACAAGTCTTGGTCCTCATATCTATGAAATCTCCACCATTTTAATTACCGTTATCGGTGACTGCAGGGAACCGCGCCCAGCTGTATCTTTTGTACTTTCTGCTATGAGTCACGTTTGTCTGATTCTTATCTCTCAATTTGTTCGTTTTCAGTGGAGATGTTTCTCCTTTTCTTACGTAGTTTGTACATGTGTATTATCTATGCGCAATCAATGCTTGAGAAACAGTTGTGCCGGGAACTTGCGGCTGTCTTTGTTACGCATTTTAAAAGCACTTAAGAAATCCTAATGCATTTTAGAAAATAATTCGATGACAAACCATTCATCAATGCACAGAATCAGCTGTTTTTAAAGAAATTTACGTGAGGGATTTCAGCAGTAATGGTTTTCAGAATTTCAGATGAATGAGGCACCAGTGAGATCAGGACATGGGCATCTTAGAGAAGCTAAATTTCTCTCTCTCTCTCTCTCTCTCTCTCTCTCTCTCTCTCTCTACAAAAGTATAAGCTAGTAGGAGAGGTGGTGTTAGAGCGGAGTACCATGTTGGTCAGCAAATCTCCACTCTAAATCAAAATTTGATCTGGGATCTCTCTCTCAAATTGGGCCAACTAAGTATGGGGAGAAAAGGTCCACATTTTCAGAAAAAAAAATCTTTTGAAACATGCTGGTTACAGACCTGAAATTAAGACGATATCCAACTACAGTATTCATTGTACATTCACCAGAGCAGCTGATCTGGGTAATTTAGAACTATACAATATCGGACACATTATAGTTCTACTGGTACAGCTGCTATAATTTACTGGAACTAGGGGCCAGTGACACAAAAGAAAAAAAAGACATAAGACCAAAAATAAGACTTTCACTTTAGGACAGGCTTTATAATATATTCAAATTAATGATAAATCCAAATATTCCGCTAAAATGAACTCATCATTGAGCTTTAACAGTGACCAATTTTTTCTATCTATGACATTCTACCAATATTTAATAAAGATGGATTACTTCTGATGAAGTAAACTAAAATTACCCTCTACCAGGGTGGCAGATATTATAGGGAAATCTTAAAAAAGCCAGAGAATGACTATTTATCTAACGATATATCTGTGAAAATCTTCTGAAAAATCAATCTGTCGCCCTGGTAAGGGGTAGACTAAAATTTTGGTCCTAAAGTTGAGACCAGATTTCGGCCTCAAGTTCTACTGTGACACTGTCCCCAGACTGGCAGTTTTGTGGCACATGGCGGCATTAATATATGGACCCCAAAACAACAACAACAGGTGTCTCAGACTCGCCAGGGTCATTGTCACAAGGCCAGGCAAACTTGACAAGTTGGTTTATGAGCAGTGACTCTCTGTAAACCACTCTTGCAAGACGAAATTTATTTATTTAATTATTTTTTATTATTTATTTATTTATTTATTTATTTTTCTTGTTTTCTAAACATATATGTGTAACGAGCATGGCGGCTAAATTTCAGGATCTGTTGGTGTTCTTTTAATATTGATTTTCAAATCCTCAGTGAAAACTACAGCATTGCATTGTTGCATGTCGAACGCAGCGTATAGAGTCACAGATGTGCATCATTCTTGTTCTTCTTTTTCTTCTTATAATTATTAACTTTTAGAACATTCAATGGCTCCATGTCTCAAGAACAGCGCTTTTAGATTCACCGCATAGTACAGGTAAGAAAGAGAGAGAGAGAGAGACTGATTCTTGGAGGTTTGTAATCCAACTACAACGGGCACAAAATTGTTATTATAGCGACTGACGTTGACAAGGTAACTTGCAGTAACGCTAGAGGAGAATGTGTTAGGTGTGCCAGGTGCAGGACCTCATAACACAATTAAAAGCAGCCACGATTGCTACGTTGACTGTGTATTATAAACAGTAATGCAGCTATCGTTAAAATTAGGTGTCTTTATAGGCCTATGTTTCTTCATTAAAAACACCAAAGGAGCATGTTAAAAACACACAACTGGTATTTTACTTGAAAAGTGATTTTACATAAATTACTAATTTGCTTTTATGAACCCAACAAACATCCACACATGTAATGATTACACGTACTGGGGTAGAGTACTACACTTCTGAAAATTTTCAATCAACACTAGAATGGAAAATGAATTCATGATTTTCAGGAAAATTTTAGATTTATTTGAATAATAATATAATATAACATAATACAATTGTGATTTTATGCCAGTTAAAAATAAGTCAAAAAATAAAGGACTTTTCTTGGACCCTCAACCACAAAAAGCATCATTTTGAAGAAAAAAAAGATAATGGTTAACCAGTATAGCTTTCACCTCATAAATTTAAAATTAAAGAATTGATATTGAGGCATTTTTTTAGCATCATTATGTTTTATTTTAATTTGTACAATTTGTGATTAAATTTTAATTTAAAAAATGATAGGTAAATTGCATCTGATTTAATACATATTTCTCAATAAATCTGAAATCTACAGTGTATTATTGTCTCTCATAATATATCAGCATTTCTTTATATTTACATCATATATCATACATTTTACAATGAAGTGATTTGGGGAAATCAGGCCCCATGAATTGTACACTACTGAAATGACTGAGCCACAAGTTGAACATGGTCTCTCTGTACAAAGTTAGAGCTACTGGTATTTTACATCACTAAACATCACAAGTATTTGACTTGCTTTTTCTGCACAGTTTCACACTAGGGAAGGGAGTAGGGTGCAGTGCTTCTTTCGCCTGCTGTGAGAAAGATTGTTAAAACTGTCTACATCTGACTTGCTTTTTCCAGACTTTTGGTAGCATCTTTTAGTTTTCCAACCAGGTCCTAAAACATAAATGGAATATTCAAACTTACACAAGGTACAATGATTTCTCCATAATGATGATATCAATAAATATTTTTTACTTCAGTTTATCACACTAGAATAAAGTATTAAGAGCAAAAAAAAAAAAAAAAAGATTAGTAAAGCAAGACAAAGCCCATCAGTTTTTCATCCCTGTGTCAAACATAATGGTAAGTTGGTCTTTGTCGAAGATGTCATATTTGCCCACTGAAGTGAGACAATTTTTTAAATTCTTGCACACAAACCTTTAACAAAATCTCACTAGTATATCTTTGTATGCAGGTACATACTGCCATAGTTGTATTTTCCCCAACACCTATCGAAAAAAAAAAGAAAGAAAGAAAACAAGAAAACTTACCTGTAACTGTTCCATGGTGCAAGCAAACTGAACATCTTTGGTGTCTTGTTGTCCACACTCCTATAATCCCAGTAAGGAAAAAAATTTAATTTACTTTTGCTTCCATATTCAATTCATAATTACAAGTGTGTGGGAATGTATTTATCTATTTATTCATTCATTTATCTAATATTTTGCACTATGATTTGCATGCGTCAATGCCTTATGTTTGTCATTTTGTTACTGATAAATCTGGTTTATGACCCATCAAACAGACCTTAAATTTAGTTGACTACGGGTAGTAATTGGCTATTTATGCTTTTCTTAAGTATGCTGCTTCTTATTTGTACTACTATCAGTCATTTCATAGCAAAAAGTTGGCTATTTTGATGCTCATCATGAATCTCACCTCTGTTTTTAATGTTATCAGATAAGTAGGCTGATTGACTTTATCCACATGGTTATTCTGAAAAATATCAAGAAGATTATTTTCTTATTTTCTGTAAACTATAATGATAGAAAAATTCAATCAAAATATTAGCATAAATCACTGGGGTAAAACAATTTTGCTTTTTTTTTAGCAGAATCTGAAGATTGTTGCTTATCTCATTCATAAGAAAACATTTTGTGCGTACATTCCTCTTACATTTATACAGTAATCCAATCTCCCATACAACACAAGTCACACCCTAAACTGAATACAGTGAAGACAAATTCTTCAAAGTAAAATCCAAACCTTAAATAGGAAGTATCAGATCTAGACACGCACCTCAATCATAATTACTGACCATCTCCCTCATTCCCTCCCCACCCCCAACAATAAAGCATAAAGAACAAAGTAAAAAAAAAACAGTAAAGCAAGACAAAACCCAGCATTTTTCCATCCCGTGTCAAACATATAATAGTAAATTAGTCTTTGTCTAAGGAGGTTGTATCTGCCAGTTGAAGTGAGACAATTTTTTAATCCTTGCACCCCAAACCCTTAACAAAATCATACATCCACCTGTGCCATCAGCACTGCATTTGGCATTCCAGTGAAAATATTATTCATACCAAAAATGCAGTCTTTACAGTGATGAGGTTCTTGTTAAGCAATGACTGTTCTGTTTATCTGCTTCTCACCTTTATATAGTAATCTAGTCTCCAGTCAACATCCACTATATGAGGGGGATTATGGCTGACACTGAAAGCAAATTTAGTTGTTTTAATATATTAAAATACACTTTTTCATTTAATGATTTACAATGTATGTGTCAACTTAAAATGTTTTCTTTTCCACAATTAGAATGTCTGGCAAGTCAACTGCTACAAAGAAAACTTTTATTGCACTTTTTCCAAGTCTGTTTGCAGTTCTAGAATTGTTTATCCACATGTACAATAACAGTTACAATTATTTTGACAGATGGATTTTTACTTCATTTATTTATTTATTTATGCATTTTACGTATGAATCAACTTACCTTCCTAATAATGCTTGAATATGGGACTTCTTTTCCTAAAAATAAATATCACATGTTAAAGCTTATAGTGTTGAATGCCATAATGACAGAAAAGAATGTTGAACAACTAAAGAAAGGAGAGGCAAATTAAAGGGCTATACAAAAATTTAAATACTTCACAGATAAAGAGGCCTACTAATATATTATCTCATTGCTCATTTAAACTGTCACCTGAACCATCATAAAAATGGTGAAAAAAAAAAAAAAAAATATATATATATATATATATATATATATATATATATATATATATATATATATATATATATATATATATATATATATATATATATATATATAATTCTGGACTATAAACTTACCAAAAATATATTTGTAAATGTCTTTATTCTTTCTGTGGTAAATTTGCAATCTTCTAGAACTGAGCTACAAAAGAAATACAAAAATCAGTTTAACCTCCTTTTGGGCTGTTCAATTTAATTTGTCTGCAACACATTACTGGGTTAAAATCATCCGAAATGCATTATGTATCCAAAAATTAGAATGTCCTTTACATTTATCATTCAGTATTTTTAAATGAAAGTGTATCATTCAAAAATAATACTTTGCAAAGAAAAAGTCTAAGACTATGTTAAAGACAAATACATTCTTAATAAATTGTCTTGTGTAAATATATAAAATGCCTTAATTACAATTAACTGAAGAGAAAATATTTATCTAAAACCCCTATTAACCTTATATTGGAACTATCGGCATTGTTCTTGGCACATTCTAAGGAAAATGTCATTAAAGCTGCATAAGCTTCCTTGAGGCTGGCTTTGTCTACTGAGCCAAACTTGTCTGCTGAAATAATGAGAACAAAGGATTAAATCAGAGAATTTACATCCAATAATACATATTTTTTATTTGCACCAGTCTAAAATATAAAAGGCAAGTTCATTTAACAATGACTGCAAACACATCTAATAATCAAGAGAAAAATAGATAATAATAATCAATATGTTATCTACTTCCCTAGGTACTTCTAACCCCCCCCCCTCAAAAAAAAAAATGCAAACAGAAGATGCTATAGGCATTACTAACTAAGTAACTTAAAACTTGCATGTCATATATGTAATTATTTCATACATGTGTACAGCAAATACAATGAAGAGTTAAGCATGCTCCCATGACTAGTAAATATATATTTAAACACATTGTTAATTCATCGATTAAAATGGCCAGGAGACATTGATCTACACTGTAGTTCAGACTCCAGATTAGTGTCACTGTAACTGTCACTGTGTCAGTGTTAAACTTAAAGTTGGTAAGTTCGGGTCAGGGGGTGTGAACGGCACCCCTTGACAACATCTGTATACCGATCTGTAACTCCCCGCCGTTCTCTCTGTTCAACAGATCGTCACACACACTTTCTACCAAAGCACCAAAGACACTGTCCGGGATGTGAGCACTGTCCCCGGACAACTGAAGTCCGTCGGTCACTTCCGTACTCAACTCCATCCTTCTCCAACTCGTGACCTTCACCACGGGGAAGTCTTCTTTAAAAAGAGGTTAAAAATTTAGCTCTTTTGCTTGAGAAGTCCAGTAAGGTGTAGTTTATTTTGTTGATGTTTTAATCTCTGGATGGAAAAGTGAATTCAGCTTTTATTGTGACAAAATCCGTGACGTTTTAGTATTTTCAACGAAATGGGAAAACGGATAAAGGAACCAGTAAAAGGCGGCGACGTTAAGATTATCTTCAATGATCTCGCATTGACTAAATTTCTAGATGTGTTGTCGATCTTTTCAACATCAACGACCGAACCAAGGTTATCGCCAACTAATTATGCTTCAAGTTCTAAATATGAACAGTCTGACATTTTAACAAGGTATCCATCTAGTGTGATTAAAGTTCAGAGACACTCTGATGACAGCGTTAGTCTGGAGATACCAGGCGGTATGCTGGAGCACGAGGAAGATAAATTGGTCTGTGATTTGCGACAAAGAAAATGGAGTACCTGTATTTGTAACGACCTCATTGCTGACGCTGAGGCCGAGAAAGACACGGCCAGTACAACACCGTCACCCACAGAAACAGAAGCGGTCACTGTCATTGAGCCAATGGCCAAATATTCTGAACCCAAAATGGTAACGCAAATAAAACCTGAGGTGGACTCTGAGAAAGAACTGAAAAAGGAAACAGAACACTCGTCAAGTAAACAGCTCATAGTTACACACACTGCTACTGCCAGCGCCGTGAAAACTGACAATGAAATTCAGCACAACACTGACCTACAGGGTACTGTCAGGAATGAGAAACAGAGCTCTGAAGACCAAAATCCTATTGAGATTGATAGGGAAAACTGTCCCATTTATACCAGCAATAAGAGACAGAACTTTGGTCCACAGGTTAATAGCGATCCAGTCAAAACTGCTGTTGTGACCTCAGGCATTGCACCATTTGCTCACATATATGGTACCAGAAGGAAAGCAGCAGTGCTCCATACTAGGACTGCAAAAGGTATTCTGCCCTTTCCTATAATGATAATATCATTTTAATATTAAAATATGCCTGACTTCAGATAGAAAGCTTATGAATTAATACTTGATGGTATGCACATATACTAGTAGGTAATTAATACATAAATATGATTTCAAACTTTGGTATAACAAGCTTTAAGTCACACTGGTATTAGGCAGTGTTATTTATTTATTTGTTTACTTTTTTCCAGCTGTAAAGAAAGTAAACGCCAGACAGGGTCAGAAAGGAGGAGAAAATTCAAGTCGCCCAGTGAAGCCAACAAAATCAGTTCAATGTAAACTGTGTACAAAGAGCTGCAAGCATCTGGAGGCGTTAAACTTCCACAACCAGCGTTACCATCAGGACCATCCCCAATATGAAGAGTATGAAAGAGAAATAAAAGAACAGCTCAATCTGAAATGTCACATCTGTGGAAAGACTTTCAGCATGCGTCGAATCTATCAGACTCATTTGAAGCAAGCTCATGTTCCAAAAGAGTTGTGTGGACAACACGAGTGCAGAGAGTGCGGGAAGACGTACCGCAGACAGGATTTACTGGAGGCTCATATTCAAAGAGTTCATGTTGTGGACAGGTTTGTGTCATTCTATTTAGAGTTTTGGCAACAATAATAATAATAATAATAATAATAATAATAATAATAATAAAACAGTTCATACTGTACGTCATGATACGGTACATCATACATGAAACAATACAATAATACAATAATAAAACTGTACGTCATAATATGGAACATAATACATGGAACAAAAAAAGGATGATGTTTTTGTAAAATGTAATTTTGATATTTTAAAAGAGCTGATACTTGTTTTATGTATTAAACACATTTTTAATGGTTTACTGTAATGCATCAATGTATTATTTGAAGATTTATTGTGCTATTATTTTTTTTTTCATTTACAGGCACCTGTGTCATCTCTGTGTCAAGTCATTTAAAACCAAACAGTCTATGAAGGAACACATTAATGACTGTCATCTGATGAAGAGACAGTTCCAATGTGGTATCTGCTACAAGGTGCTGGCATCATCAAGGGTTCTGAGGCGACATCTAGCTTTGCATTCAGGTAGGTACAGTATATACACGGCAGTTTTATGTAACCCCAGATATTACCAGTAGAATAAAGGGATAATAACTCTTCGTATGAGATCTATATTTCACAATAAAAACATATTATGTTTTACCACAAAAATGACAGTTATAGCTATTATTCTGATATTTGAGCTTGTCTTTAGACCACGTGACCTCCATTGATGGTTGTACTCTAAAAACAAACTTTTCTTTGAAGGTAAAAATGGATTCATTATCCATTGGGAAGTATGGGGAAATTGTTGTTTACTCCAGGAAAATTCATTTTTTGGCCAGAACAAAATTATTATCCCTTTAACTTAACTTGTGATAGACTTAGGTAAGTTAATATATCCAGCAGACTTTAAATTGATCAACAAATACCAGTGCTGTGATTAAGACTGTTTAGTTTTAAACCATAAAAGATGTGGTAGAATATTTTTAGTGAAAACAGTTCCTGCAACAAGATAATCTGGGTTGTTTCGTTTGAGAATATTTCAACAAAAGTAATCAGATTGAGACTTTCAAATTGAAATCGCTATCTAATGTTTGTGAATTGAATCGTGGCCTTGTCCACTCAGAATACCTGTCCTTCTAATAGAAAGGTGAATTCATTTTAAATCCGACAATTAAAAAAATCATTACATGTATATTTCAGGTAAGAAACCTCACGCCTGTCCGGAGTGCGGCAAGAGTTTCAACTGCAAGCAGAACATGCGCCGTCACCGCAGCCTAGTCCACGGAGAAACCAAACAAATCCCGTGTTCCAAATGCGGCAAAACGTTCCGTTCCGAGGACTCCATGAAAGCGCACGTGCGCAAAATCCACGAGCACGCGAGCACGTACAAATGTCCACTTTGCAGCGTTGCACTCCACCGACGAACGCAGTACGTCAGTCACTTGGCGAAGAAGCACCCTGGGAGCACAAGGCGTGTGTATGTGACAGACTCGCAGGGTGCTTTGAAAAGCATAAATGTGGAGACAGGGGACGGGTTTCGCATCGTTGGTAGTGATGCCTGGAGAATGGAGAAAGAGGGAGAGGAGGAAGGGAGGTGTGATCAAGATGGCAGCGAGGACGAGGAAGAGACAGAGGCACATATTACACTACCAGATCTCACCCCTGTGTTCGGGTTTAAGCCTCACTTCTTGACCCTGGAGCAGTATCAGAATCTACAGGCACAGAAAGCTGCTCTGACTGCCGGAGAAAAGACTAAGAGCGGCGGTTCAACTAATAAAGTGGTCCCACATGCTGAAACTGTGATAGAGGAAAACGCGTCTCTCATCACTCAAAAATATGGCAAGGATGGGGTGATATTTGTTGCTAGCCCCAGCAACCAAGTAACTAGTATTAAAGAAAAAGGCGAACTTGTTAAATTGGTCTATATTCCAAAAGACAACTCGGCTTTATAGTGTCGACTTGGTGGTGTTGTGATATATTCATAGCTTCTGACTTTCTACTAAGTTGTTTTGGAATATTTTGATATTTCATTGCTATAATTCGCTCGCTAGCGGTCAGCGTAGCACAAAACATCAGTGTAACATATGATGTTCTGATTCAAATAAACAATTTTATCCAAGTTTAAATAGGTTTAATTAGTTTCGTTACTTGTCTTCTATCGTTTTTTTTTTCTTTTTCTATTTTGTACGCTTATATAAGCATGCATGACAAGGGCACCTAAGACTTGAAAAATTAAAGTAATTTCCATTTGTAATTTCTGGTTCATCGACCGATATTGAAAACGGCATTTTATTACTGCAGTAAATCTGTATTTTCATAGCTGTTGCCTGCAGCCGAAGACGAAAACTCAGCCAAAATTTGGGAAAGACCGACCTAAGCTAGGAAAAATATGGTTGCAGTTCCCTGACAACCTCATTTTTAAAAAAAATTTATTCGCTACCTCATTTTCAACACGCTTATATTTTTTAAAAATACATGTTTACAATGAGTAAAAAGATGCCAGCGCTCTTTGCAGGTAGACATCTAACCATGTTTTTTGAAGAATTAGGTCACAGCTCATAAGTTGTACGTGTAGTAGGGCACTGAGAATCGCTATATAGGCCAGCAGAAAAGGAGACGTATTTGCATTCAGCCATTTTGTTGTCGGCACTTTCCTGCAAAGCTACGGTATACATAGGTTTGTATTACTACAGGTTTTTTTTATTGGACTTGCAGATCTGACACTGCCTCGATGTTCACCTTGTAGGTCTATATTAACTTTTATTTTTAACCTTAGATGCCTTGTCTCTGGCGTTTATCGTTGTATTTAACCAGTTGTATTCGGTAGACTACAGGACTACTTCTATTTTATTGGGTCTGGGATAATAACTAATTTGTTGCCTGATTATAAATTAAAGTTTTGCAGCTAAAGGGGATGAACAAAAGTACCATGGGTGGTAGGTAAAACTGTTTTTTATATATTGACCTGAAATATACGGAGTAATTCAAGTAGGCCTACTTCTGCAGTCTTCGTCCCAGTCGTGGTCTTAAAATACAGCACGTGTACTAAGTTTACTTATGCCCTGATTTTAGTGTGCATTGGACGGCTTACCTAATATTCTTTTACCTGCAGCTGGGCTTAAGTAGTCGTATACATGTTTTCGCAAAAAAAGTTAATTGATGGAATTAATGCTGTGCAGGCATTTCGTTGATCGTATTAACACGTTTTGTAGCGCGAAGGTCGTTATAGATTGAACATTTATGCTCTGTTGGAGATGTTATTGAGAAAATTCATTTAGCACACCGTTCAGATATTTCGTATTTTTGCCGCTTTTGTCTAAGTCTGATGATTCTCTTTACGCGTTAAGAATTTCCAGTTTTTTTTCTGTGATGACCTCACGATAAATTGCAATAGCTTTTTTCAGGCGGATAGCATTTAGTAACTGAATGTTTTTGATTTTTTGATTTTTGATATGTTGAATAATACATGTAACAATTTTGAATTTTTCAGTTAAATCGATGTTCTTGAACAATATAAATATAAATGAAACCGCATGCAATTACATGTTGTATAATGTACACCAAAAATTTCGTATAGACTTTAATGCAGGTGGAAATTAGAGTTTTTGACATTTTGGCAGTGTACTTGCAATTGAAGCATGGACGAGTTACGTGCCCTGTACCCTGAAATAGAACCTTTCCAGACCGGGAGACTGAAAGTTTCAGATATTCATGAACTTTACTATGAACAGTGCGGCCAGAAGGACGGGAATCCTGTGTTATTTCTGTAAGTTTTATAACGAGACTGAAAGGTGCCGTAGTCTTTGATATAAGCCACTTGTATTTGTGAATCAGCGAGAGAAATTTGATGTCAAAAGAATTATATAGAGAAAATGCAAAAGAAATCTAAAAAATATGAAATATAGAGTGACGCGGAATTAAAATTGGGAAAATCGAATTTGGTTTACTTAGAGCAAGTCCTTTTTTCTTTTTTGTTTGTTTGTTTGTTTGTTTGTTTGTTTGTTTGTTTTTAAAAGAATAGTAATAGGGCTCTTTTTTTTAGAAAATCAAATGTTTGCAAGTTTCAGCTTGAATTACCATTTTAAGAATGTTAAAATATTCCATATGAGACCTCTTTTTGTTTCAGTCACGGCGGCCCAGGAGAGAGTATATCCGCCAGACATAGGAGGTTTTTTGACCCTGAAGTCTACAGGATAGTCTTGTTTGACCAGAGGGGAGCCGGGAAGTCGACTCCTCCGGGGGAATTAAAGGTAGGGTCAGTTTGACCCGGTGTAGCGTGGCAAAGAGTCCCACCATTTCTGGGTGCGCTGGACCTTTTAATTTTAAAATTCAGACTGGGTTCCCATTCCTAGATTGATCTTACAGGATCGATCCATCCCCACGGGGTTTCTCGCTAAATTGCTTTCAGCTTAAGGGTCTTAGATCTCTGGCACACCTCCTGAAGCTGCTAAACGATAATAAATTATCCCTTAGCGGCTTCAGTAGTCGTGACAGACTTCTTAGCCTCTTAAGTTGATTGCACTTTCGTGAGAATCCCGTTGGAGATAGATCGAGCCAAAGTTGGTACGGTAGTGGCTGGGAATGGTCCCCAGCAGTCCGACGAAACAAGGAAGAGTCAGGATAGGCCTATAATATGAAGGCGCATGGATTTTATGTTATACCCGCACTCCACGTTTCAAAATTTATCGGAGGGAACCTGTTCTTTCAATGTGGGTCACATTTTGGGTCACTCTAGGCTTCACAACGGGGTATGGGGTTAAGTTAAGGGTTAAAAGATAAGTCGAAAACATTGATATCAATTTCAGTAGAAAAAAAACACATTTTCTGGTTTGGACCAAGATAGATTACATATATTTCTTTTGAGGGAAATAAAACAGGGAAGTACTTACAAGTGCACACAAAGATAATTCCCGCCAAGGAAGAATGAAAAATGCATGTAGATGGTTCCAGTTTTCTCTTCCAGGACAACACCACATGGGCACTAGTGGAGGATATTGAAACTCTGCGGAAACACCTGAACATTGATCAGTGGGTGGTATTCGGAGGCAGCTGGGGCTGTGCTCTCTCCCTGGCTTACGCCGAGACACACCCAGACAGGGTGAAGGCACTGGTGCTGAGGGGGATCTACACTTTTAGGAGGTCGGTATGATACACACGCATTGGGCTTTAGAAGCAGAGAGAGAGAGAGAGAGAGTTCACGTGTGTGTGTGTGTGTGTTTGTGTGTGTGTAGAAAGAGAGAGAGAGAGTGTTCACGTGTGTGTGTGTGTTTGTGTGTGTGTGAAAGAGAGAGAGAGAGAGAGAGAGAGAGAGAGAGAGAGAGTGTGTGAGTGTGTGTGTGTGTGTGTGAGAGAGAGAGAGAGAGAGAGAGAGAGAGAGAGAGAGAGAGAGTGTATGTGTGTGTGTGTGTGTGTTTGGAGAGAGAAAGAGACGGCTTTCCGAAGTAAATAGCTACGTTAGAGGGGGGTTCCCTTGTCTATCAGCTTATTTCGCTTCTATAACTAACGTTCGTGATCGAAAAAAAATATAACGCAAAAGTCTGCCGCCAAAAGTAAAATTTATCTTAGGCTCACTTCGACAGGCTCTAACATGTAATTTGTTCATTAATCAAATTGTAATATTTGTTAATTGAAATGTATTATAACAGATTGTCATACGTATGTATTATTTTCAGAAAAGAAATCCAATTCATGTATCAGACAGGTGCGAAATTCGTTTTTCCAGAAGAATATGAGAGATTTCTTAAGCCGATTCCAGAGGCAAGTTTAGTAATACTTATGAAAATATACCACGAAAGCCAGGAAATCTGAGAACAAATAAATCATTAATTTTGGCATCAGGACAACACTAGCGGTACTTGAAGTCATGATATTAAAAAATTAAGAGTCATATCGCGTAGTTTATCTTTTTAAATGTGGTCGTATATTCACATTTAGGCTTGTACAAAGAGTGCGATCCGGGAATCAGATCAGCATTCAAATTATATTCAACATATCTGTAGCCCATTATGGTTAAAAAAAGCTCGTACATTAGATTTTACTCTTTTTCGCTCGTCCCAATAAGATATTGCAATTGTGTGTACGTTTGGATTTTTAGAAGTTTTTTTACACCTAAAAAGGGTGTAAATACTCGGCGACCTTCTTGAATTGGGTCACTGTAGGTTTGATTAAGTACATGTATAATGTCATTCTAGGTGGAACAAGGAGATCTTATCAGTGCCTACTACAGAAGACTGACAGGTGAACCCAGCATCCGTATTATTATCTCACTGGTTATGCAACTCTGATAGTAACTGCATTATATTTATTAACTAGAAAAGCACCCAGAGAGCGCAGACCTCCGCCAAGACAGCAAAGTCTCCATCCAATGCCGTTCACCCCTAAATTTTCAATATTTTTGATTATGGATTATTGATTGATTATTGATCCGGATCATCACCAAAAACGTATCATCTGTTCCTTGGCCCACTTCTGACAGTTTCTGAAAATTTCATCAAATCTGTTTATAACTTTTTGAGTTATGTTGATGACAGACAGACAGAAAGACAGACAAACAAACAAACAGGGGTGAAAACATAACCTCCTTGGCGGATGTAATCAATGAAAAACATAGAATTAACAGAAAAAAAAGAAAGAAAAAGCAGCCAGAAAAACACAATATTATCTGTTTACGACCCAGCGACTCCACATGTCTGAGTCGGAGTGACTGCAGAGGCGGATTCAGAGATATTTTCTGACAGTCTTCCAAATTATCTTTGTTGATCCAGCTTCCATTTTTGACCGTCTTCCGACAGAAAAAATTAGATACACGTCAGTAAAAAAACTTAAAAATCTGACCGTCTTCTGGAAGACCCAGAAGACGGCTTAAATCCGCCCCCTCATGCGCCTTTACTTCCCAGAATCGTCCCATCCCCTAAAAAAATTATATGATTTAACCCATATCTACTCTTGCCCGCACCGTTTCTCTCCCTCGGTGGTTTTTCAATGGCGATTCTAAAAAATTATCTTTCGGGCCCCAGTATTTACAGCAAGGTTGTAGAATTGAGGATTATGTTTAATGCGTCGAGTTTTTACCAGTAGCGAGTAACGATACTGAGGTGTTATAGTGCGGGGATGCAGGGGCGGATTTAGGCTGTCTTCTGGGTCTTCCAGAAGACGGTCAGATTTTCAAGTTTACATTGACGGATATCTATTTTTTTCTCTCGGAAGACGGTCAAAAATGTAGAATGGATCAGCAAAGATAATTTGGAAGACTGTCAGAAAATATCTCTGGATCCGCCCCTGGGGATGTAAAGGAATGTAACCAGTGTAACGCACAGAAAAGCAAGCGGTGACATTTCGACTAACAAAGAGAGCATTCACATCGAGAGACCATTAAAGGATTACGCGGTCTCCCTTTCATGTAGGTCCGCCATATTTATGTCTCGGCCTTGCTAGACCTCGGCTCTTCTCGATGTGAATGCTCTCAAAGAGAGTGATGATATAGTGTTAAGTATGAAGTTGAATTGTTTTCATTTGATAATGAATTGACTGATATATTTGGAAATTAATGTGAACCAGTTAAAAAGTACTTTATTGATTTGTCAGGTGAGGACGAGGAAGAGAGTTTGCGGTGTGGCCAGGCCTGGTGCAGGTGGGAAACGGCCATTTCTGATCTTTACACACCGCAAGAAGTTCTGGATAGAGAGGAGGATCCAAAAGGCCTCCTGCAGTACGCACTGATTGAAAGGTAGGGTGTGCTCTTGGTGATTCTGCACAGTACATAGCCTGCCTTGCCTTCACAGGCTTGTTCTGAGTATGTTAGGCTTGTCTTGAGTATGGTTGGCAGAGCCTCGTGGCGCCTCCTGATTTACGTGTCTTATAAATTTCAGAAATAATTTAAGATGTCATTTTAAATATTAGGGGCAACATACTATACGTCATAATTATTTTAAAAGAAATGGTAAAAACATCGAATCAAGGTGCAGGAAAATATTGAGCAATGATTTGTGCAGGGCCGTAGCCTGAGCAAACTGCCAGGGGGGGCAGTAAGCGAACACGAGGGGGCGAAGCCACCAAGAGGGGGGTGGGGGTGTCCCCCTCCCACGGTGTGGAAAATTTTTAAAAACTGTATGTATAATACTGCATTCTGGTGCATTTTAACTGTTATTTATTGCTCAATCAGAAGTCAGAAATTGCGATTATTTTTTTGCACCTCAAATCCCAGGGGGGGCAGCTGCCCCCCCCCCCTGCCCCCCAGGAGGCTACGGCCCTGTTGTGGTTCATGAATAGGAGAAAATCACCTAATCTTCTCTTGGAAAATTGGATTTAGTGCAAACAGCCCGTAAAGGATACCTGTAATTTTTTTCAACCATTTCTTGTGCATGGCGGACTTTTTGAATCTAAGAAATATAAGTTTCACAACTGAATATAAGACCGATTGTTGGTCTTAACTTTTACACTAGAATGCTAAGGCGAACAATATTTTTGTGGAGTAAAAATCATCGTGAATTGAAGCAGGACGATTTAAAAATGGTTTTAAAATTTAGATCCCTTAGAAGTTCTTTTAGAGACCTTTCCGATCAGGTGCCTTTATTACATGACCATTTCAATATCAATTCAGCCATTACCTTGTGAACGGTGCGTTTTTGAAGACCGAGACTCAGCTCTTGGACGACGTTGAGAAGATTCGTCATATTCCCTGCACCATAGTCCAGGGTAGATACGACATGTGTTGTCCCGTGCGCACTGCCTGGGATCTACACCTTGTAAGTATCGATTTTTTTAGCGTTATAAAGCTTGCTCTTCTGATTGAGAAGCCAATTCCATGAAATACGACATAGCTTAAGCGGTCGAAATCGGATTGGAAACGATCTTCTGAAAATTGTTATTATCAGTAGAATTGTGGTTAGACAGTTGTGGCATTCGTTCGGACTCAGGAGCACTTATTAGTTTAAATTTGTCTTTTTTAAAACGATTCCTGTCAAATAGGCATGTAATGAATTAACAGCAGATTATTTGAAATAAGCCTCAAAATTATCTTAAACTGGTCACTAAGAAAACTATGTTGCCTAAAACCAGTCAGTAATCCGCTTATGCATGTATAAAGATTCGATAAAATTTTTAGACGTGACGCCTTATCACAGCCGTTTAGAAAAAAATTTTGTAATTAAGCAGTTATATAAATTTTTATTTTTTAGAGATTTCCAGAGGCCGAATTTCATATTGTACCAGATGGAGGTCATTCTGAGTATCCCCCCAAGATGGCGTCACTTCTCGTCCAGGCATGTGATAAATACAAGAGTCTTTAACCAGGAAAATGGTGACACTGACAGCAGGCCCGTAGCCAGGGGGGGTTCGGGGGGTTCGTAAGAACCCCCCCTTTTTGCTGGGAAAAGGTCCGCTCTGGGTAAAATTTGATCTAGGTACATGAGGATTTTATGGCAAAGGTCCACTTTTTCAGAAAAAGAACCCCCCCTTTGAAATTGCTGGCTACGGGCCTGGACAGTCACGTGAAATATTCTGTAATCAAGGTCGATGACTTGTAGCCGTATTGAACATATAATCAGCCTTTCAGACACTTACTCAGTCAGTTTCAGCACTGTTGAGTGACGGTTCAACAAATACCTCTCTTTTACAATTAAAAGAATCTATTTTTACACGAAAAATCGCATGCAGTTGTAAAGCTGAGAATCAGGCGTACGCATGACCAGTAGTTTGGAACCTGGTTTTGATTACTAAGATAAAATAGTCATTTTTGTGATAAAAATGTGCAGAAAAGTTGTTTCTTTTGAATAAAATGCCAATATTGTATAAAATCCGTTTCCCGCTTCTGCCAGGACATGCATTTGCATATTATTAATAGAAAATTTGAAAAACGATTACTTGTTTTTGGAATATGTATTTATCTACCTATGCGTATAAATGTCGATTACCTAGCCTTTTATGTCTTTTAAGTATAAGCGCATAGAACCAAATCTGATGGCTATACCATTGATTTGCCCCTATATAGACCTCATAGACATGCTAGCTACATTTAGGCCTATTGGGGGGGGGGGGGGGGGAGGGGGGGTTCGTACGGAAAACGCCCGTAAACTAATATCTTCAACTTAACTAAACTTGCTCCACCTTTTTATAACAGAAATCATATATCTTGAAGGTGAGGACACTGTCACACCTAGCGTATAGCTCTAACGTATGTGGAAAATTTGCGCATACGCAGACAAACGCAATGCGTTCGTTATTCTTGTGTCGTACACGCAGGCAAACGTTGGTGTACCGTCGATTCGCATACCCGGAGGAGATGGAATATTTTGAATATGTTCAACAACAATTTTATGAGTAGCTTATATCTTCGTTTTAATACGCTTAAAACAGGGTGAATTTTTCCTGCGCTCAGTGTTGTGCTTACAACCGATGTCACATAAGAACTTCATTTCTACTACTCTACGCCAGATGTGCCAGTCTTAAGAAATGTTAGAACGCTCTTACGTAGATCCCTAAGTAGTTCATCTGCAGAGACTATATTACATTTATTCACGCTTTTCATCGAGGTCTAATGACTGTTGGACATTCCGCGTTAAAGCCTTACCGTCAAATTAGAGACACTTATGTTACAGTCACTTTTATGGTTCGGCGAGACTGGCAACCAAAATGTGCGTTTCTTGATAAGCGACTCCGGTGAACTTTTGAACCGAGGACAGAGTATCAAACGTATAGCACTGATGCATGACCTATAAATGATAACTTTGGTATTCGATTTACAACTTCTCGATCTGCGGCACTCCATTTATCATACGGGACACCAGCCTTTGGGACAATGGCGTTCCAACAACCTAAACTAAACGAAGACGTGACCAAGGGGCGTTTTAAGGGACATGTCGCGGTCGTCACCGGTGGAGCGTCCGGTATCGCCAGGGAGTGCGTCCGGCGGTTCGCTAACGACGGGGCATCGGTGGCCTTTTTCGATATCAACAGAGAAGAAGGTGTTAAGTACGAGGAAGAATTACGAAGTGAGGGGTATGACGTCACGTTCTTTGACGTCGACGTCACTGATAAAGAACGATGCATGACGACAGTGGAGACCATTGCACAGCAGCACGGTGGCAGTGTCAATTACTTGGTCAACTGTGCTGTGCAGTTTGTATTTATAGGTTTGTAGATGAAGTGTATCTTGTGGAATTGGCCTGTGTTGTCAATGTGTTCTTCATACTGAGATAACGCTATTTGTTATAGCTGAATCTGAAATGTGGTAAACTTGGCCAAACATTTGTTAATTAATTTATTCATTTATTTATCTATTTATTGATTTATTAATCAATTAATCAGTAATTAATAAGTAATTAATTAATTAGTACTTAATTAATTAATTTATTTATTTATTTTTCGTGCATTTGCTGAAACACATTTAAAAATTAAATTTAAAATGGCAAATTGAATGAAATATGACCACTGAAGCTTTTATCAACAAACCAGAACGTGCTTTGATTTAAGAAGAACTGTTCCTGATCCTGAAATGTTTAACAGTTAAATTTTCTATTTGTTAATTGCATTTGAAATATCTAAAGCCAACTGGTTTTCAAACAACCAGGTTTAGAGGCAAAAGACGCCGACTGGGAGAAAGCACTTCCCGTCAATGTGGCTGGTTACGCCAATATGGTGCAGGCATGTCACCCTCACATGAAGAAAGGTACGTAAAAATTACCTGATGTTGACATGGCAACAAGATGTAAAAGCTTACGATTTTCATTTGTAAGTAAGTCCTGAGTTTTAATGTTCCAGTAACATAATGCCAGTTAATTCCATCCCGAGTTAGATTCAGAGGACAATGAAAATCTGACTCTCAGCTATATGCATCTGATGCATGCCTCTGTCGTTTCCAATGGCAGACTGAAACAGTTCTGCGAGAGGGCAGACCTCCGCAAAAAAAAAAAAAAAAAACTACTTTTAAATAATTAATGGATCAGTACCAAAATATTACCACTTTCATATTTGCCAATTTTTGACCTATCCTGAAAGTGTCAAAATCCATCCATACTTTGTGGCTAGGCTAGTGACGAATAAACAAAGTAACTAACTAACTAACTAACTAACTAACTAACTAACGGAGGTGAAAACATATTCACATTGGCGGAGATAATTAAAGGGATAACGACTCTTCATTAAGGAGGAAAAATGATTGCCATAAAACGGACTCTCCTTGGTTAAATGACGATTTTTCCGGTACTTTTTTTCCGATGGTTAATGACTTCGTTCCGAGATCCAAATTTAGTGAATTGCTTTTTATGTGTGTTTTCATATTAATCTTTTAAGAGATTATCACAGAGAGTAACCATCTATGAAGGTCCACGTGATCCGATGGCAAGCAGAGATTTCAGAATAATTGTGACAAATGCCTCTTTGATGGTAAAACTGAATTGATTAGATTTCTGAGTGTTGTTTACAATGCACCTATTGTGGGATGAAGAGTTGTTATCTCTTTATAGAGAGTCGAGTTTCCAGTGTCTTCCTTAACTTAGGGTACATAATACTATTATTCTCATATGATTCAAAGGGATGAGTAACGTTCCACAAAATATAGCATAAAACATCTAGATATACATTGTAGCAGCATGACTTTTTTAAGATTGCGCATACTATACCAGCAATATGAAGGCTTACCCCCTACCAGGGCGACAGATTGATTTTTCACAGATATTCACAGATATGTCTTTAGATAAATAGACAGTCATTTTGGTCTGATACCAGCCAAAAATGTCCACCCTGGTAGAGGGTAATGAAGGCTCACCTTTTTCACATGCAGAACAGTTTTACAAATTGCGAACTTTTATAAACTTTCTTCCAGCCAGTGCGGAAGATAAATGCGTCATCAACATGGCCAGTACTGGCGCCCACTTGGCCAACAAAAATGCCTGGGTGTACCACGCGTCTAAAGGAGCGGGTCTTCAGATGACCCGCTGTATGGCGCTAGACTTGTCCAAGGACGGGATTCGGGTGAACTCCGTGTCTCCTGCAGCCATCTGGACACAGACGGTCAGTGGAGAGACATATGGAGCATTCACATCGAGAAGAGCCGAGGCCTAGCAAGGCCGCGACCTAAATATGTCAGACCTACATTAAAGGAAGACCGCTTATCCTGTTTATCCTCCCCACGCGTCGTCCCTGCAGGGGTACAGTAATTAAATCTCAGCTCAATTCAACCGGTCGGGGGACAACGCGTGGGGAGGCGTGTGAGAGGCGGAGAGATCATTACAGGATTAGCGGTCTTCCTTTCATGTAGGTCCGCCATACTTTGGTCACGGCCTTACTAGACCTCGGCTCTTCTCCAAGTGAATGCTCCCATAGAGATCATTCCCAGTCCCTATCGTACTAAATTTGGATCAAACTATCTCTAAGGGGATTCTCACTTAATTGCAATTAACTAAAACGGCTTAGATGTCTGCTACGTCTATTGAAGCTGATAGGAAGAATTAGCTATATCACTTAGCAGCTTTAGTAGGTGTCCCAACCATCTAAGCCACCTAAGCTGAAAGCAATTTAGCGAGAAACCCCGTGCAGATGGACCGATCCTGTTAGATCGACCTAGGGATGGGAACTAAGTCTTACTCTGAATTCCCACAGATTTTAGATCCATCTGTCCCCATGGTGAGTCTCACTAGATTACTGTCAGCATAGCCAGCTTAAATGTCGTCCCGCCTACTAAAAGCTGTAAGGGGGTAATTAACTTTCGTGCACGCTCGGCTGACAGCAATTTAGCGTGAACCCCCAAGGAGTTAGGTCGATCCAGATGGATCGATCTAAATCTGTGGGAATGCAGTCTTACACAAACACACACACACACACACACATACGCGAGCACGCACGCACGCACATACAAACATACATGGAAACACACATGGACAAAGATCTCGATAATGAATTAAAAATAAACTGATAATTGCATTGGTAAACACGCATGCATGCGTCCTGTAAAAATATGTAGCGTACGTGTAGAACGCTCTTTTAACAGTTCCTCAAAACTGATATACTGGATATATTAAAACTCGGCCGATATGCCCTGCCATTGTATAATCTCCCCCTTTCTGTTTGAACATTCAGATCGGTAAGATGGTCAACAATGACAAGGATTTCCACCGCACAACCTGGGGAAAGTTCCACATGTTAAAGCGGTGCGGCGAGAGCGCGGAGGTGGCCGCCGTGGTGGCGTTTCTCTGCAGTAGAGACGCAGGGTTCATCACGGGGGCGGACATTAAGGTGGACGGCGGGTATACCACCATTGGACCCGAGCGCCACGGGGAGGAGGTCGGGGTGAAGCTTGCAGTTCTCTCCAAAGAACCAAAAACCTAAAAGACACCCCAGTTTAAAACGATGTGATTTTTTTCCTCATTGTGCTCGTTTGTAAAAGACGGGTGTCGTGGTTGTTATTGTGTTTGGTTCCCAGATTCAGTAATTGTTATGCAGACTACCATGGAGAAGGAAGTTTACATGTCATTAAGAGAGATAAATACCCACCAAATTGTCCTTTATTTTTCATCTTTTAAGAACTGTCACAAAAAAAAAACAAAATTCAAGTGGTAACAGCATTTTAATAGTTTTAACACGTATAGCTCTGTAACTTCCAAATCTCAGGTGAGGTAAACATTATCCACATAGTATCAAACCTATTGTAACCAGAGTACAGAGACAAATAATTTAACATCGAACTTCAACCTTATAAAATACTCATACAGTTATATCATGCCATTAGGTAATCATGATGTTTCTTTTTTTTAATCTTCGACTTAAAAAAAACTTGTAACTAATTTTACGAACTTTGAAGATTCCCCTCCCCAGACATGCAGTCGTCAATTTTTGGCGCCATGTCCAGCAAGATACTCGCGCTCATAATCGAAAAATGTAGATTCTTTTTGTTAGTAAATATTTATACTGATCTAAATATATTTATCAGTTGTTAATGCAATGTGCGTTAGGCACCATGGGTTGTTACCAGACACTGGAAACGCGCCTCTCCATTATCAGCATGTTTCTGCCATTTCCAACAAGAGAGGCCAATTTTCAGGAACAAAAAGTGGTTTAGTATTACACATACTGCACATACAAACGGTGGTACACCAGCTTTTGTTAAGGAGTCCCCCATCAAGAACAGTGCTTTCACTGATCATCATATTCTTCTTAAGCCGTATTCAGAATAGTGAACTAACTAGGCCACTGTTCAAAAATGGCGACCCACTAAATTGTTTGCCGTCTAACCCGCTAATAGACACTAAATAGATATCCCATGGGAAGTGTTCAAGTGGGTCGGCCATATTTGACCCTCGGACTAGTTAGTCCACTGTTCTGAAAGTGACCTTACTGAATGAAAACTACCCAATGTGAGCCAGACAGTGCTTCAACCAGGTCCCTTGTTCTCTAACATGACCAAGCAAATACTAGAATTTTTCGCTAAGCTGAATTCCATCTCTAAGTAACAAAAGTGAAGTTGATAAGAATGATGAGACATTAATTCTCTGCAATAAAGAGACGAGTAATCTGTAAGGAATAATTTTTCACTCATTATGATGAAGATACGATCTAATAATGGAGTGATAATTTTACAGAGGAAAAAGGAATATGTGTGTATAGCAAGCTAAATATTTCCATTACTGATACATTCATTTGTGAATAATTTGTTATAACACAAAGCTGGTCATACAGAAATTTTAATGGTGCAATTATTGAAAAAAAAATCTTCACAACCAATTTTGGTTATCTTATTTACACACTTCTATGAATTATGAATTCAAATTGCTGTAATCATTAACACATTATACAATTATAACATGACAGATATTTCACAAATTCCATATAACCTAACAATTCTCTGAGGCTTAAAAATGTATCTTGACACAAAATCACACACACTTAATACTACTTACGAATGGATAATTAAACTACTTCCATTTACTTCTCGTAAAAGTAACAAACAACATCACCAAGAAGCTCAAACAAACACCAAGTAATACAATGAACAGTAACATCTTATACAAAAAGGATTTCTAAAATGGCCACTAATCATTCCTCACTTCCACAACAAACACATTTTTCACAACAAATTTATAATAATTCCTCAATTCATAATAGCTGTAGAGAAAAATACCCTTTGCATAAATAACTGGCAGAATGCTAAATAACAAACGTATAACGACTTTGTCACACTGGATCTTGTTTCACAGAAAGTTAATAGCTAGCTTTACTAAGTTGTCAATCATTCAAAATGATGCAAAACAGAGAAGTGTACTGCGCATGTGTCAAGGGCCTAAATATCAAGCATTTGTTAACAGGGGACACATCTAATGGGAGTATATCTTTGGGCACATATATTTTATTCTTCAGGTTTAACTATCAAACACTAGTTAATAGGGAATACATCTAGCTAAGATTGGATACATCAAGAGTTCCTAGTCTACATTTTGCACGTTCCCGATACCATCCTTGTTCTTGGCATGTTACAGGCGTTTTCATCACAGCTTGGATACATAGTGTTACGTCATTGTGCTCTACATATACATACAATCTCCCTGTATTTCAGTCTCTGTGTCATACAACTTCTTAAACTCTCATATTCAACCCCCTTAAAAACTTGTATTCTCAGAGGTATTGTCTGATAAATAATTTTTTTTAAAACAATTTTTTTTTCATTCTTCAACTCTGACATAATACCTTTCACATTTAAGTTGCACTGCTTAAAACCCTGTTCCCACAGTACTGGTATATACTTAAATGGTTTTTGCAAAGGGGAATCCATCTCACTGTATGGTTTGAGGATATCTTGTATACTGGCTCCATCTATCTATTTGGGTCAATATCATCAGGGTTCTTTTTGTGGAATGAGTGGCTTCAGTCCATCAAACATGTAGTTAGGGAAGTCTTATCCAAAAGCCAGTCTCCATCTTTCTTTCAGTAATATTTTTGTATTTGGCAGAGATGATCTTCTCTTGTACATGTACTTTTTAAATCTATCACCATGTTTCAGCAGACAAAGATCACATGGAGCAGTATGTGGCTCCACCTATTGTCACTGCTGTTTGTTACTTGATGTGAGGCCACTGAACCAAGATGACACAGCAGTTTTGGCTGAAGAGAAAGCTCCACCTGAAGTGAAAATCATATGAAATGTTTAATTAATTATTTACAATTTGAAAGTATTCCATAGTCCACTTGGCATTAGAATTAGAATTAAGGCAATTAGAAAACAAATTTGGAAGAACAGTAAGAAAACAATAAAATGATAAATGAAAGATGATTTGATTACTTTTTGGTGAAATAAAAATTACCAAACTTGGTTTGCACCAAAATGCTCCAAATAATTTTTCTCTTTTCTTTTGGTGCACAATAACAGTCAAAGTCTCACATAAATAAATACATAAATGTTATTTCTCTTCAACGCTGATGAAGAAGAGACATGTTACTTTTGGTTGGTTTGAATTATGCACACTAGCTCCATCTATCTAAGTACAGTATTGGTCAAATCATATTTCATTTCAAATAATGAAAATTTCCTTTCAACCTTTATGCTCAAGCCAACTTACCCACTGCCTTCCCTGTGTTGCTGACAGCAGCATTCACCTTCTTGCCCCGCTCACTACTTTGAAGGCTTCTGTATAACAGAATACATGATGTCATTATTAAAATATATGTTACAACACAATACAATGCCAATCAATACAATGCTTTATACTTCTGTATAATACTGTGTGATATCTAGCTTTACTGCCCTACAAGCCTCTGTATACCAGAAAACATGGTCTTCAACAATAAAATACAATACAATGAATGTACAAATCAAATACAATTACAATACAAAACAATACAATACAAAAAATTTAATTTTTTCCATTCAATAAGATAACTTGCTTTACCTATTGCCCATAACAGAAAAGATCATGTCATCAACAACATGTATAATACTAATACACATGAAATATTGTATACAAAACAACACACTACTGTAGATTATGAAGCAAAACAATATAAATCATCAGACAAAGTGATATGAAGCATTTTACCTATCTTCCATGCTTCATGTTTTCAAAATTCATGTACAAATTAAAAAAAAAATACTGAGCAAAGGTTTTGACACCAACACAGCACTCATACTTACGTGGCAACTTTAAGCCTCATGTCAGCTATGTTAAAACTTCCCTGGAATGGGTGTCTGCAAAAAACAAGAACTGGTTGTCAATTTATATCTGTAAAGAAAGCTGGCAAATCAGGTTTGACTTTTACAAGATTCCCCTTAATTGATCACTTATGTGGTAATAAAAACGTGTTTGATTAACACAGAGAACTAAGAGATAAAAATATACCGAGTCTATTTCACAAAATAATGTCTTTACTTATAAACCGAAGTTTCAGTCTACACAGACCCGTGATGAAACAGTAAAAGTCCAAGTATTAATATTTTAAAATATATTGCATCCATTATATGACTAAAAAAGTTTGAGACAATTAGTGCCTCTATTTTATTAGGCTACTGTATACTTATCCCTAGAAGTAAAAGTCAATTGAAATTTTGGGTTTCAAAATTCAAAACACTTACCAAGAGTCTTTGTTTCTTCTGTGTACCCCATCTCTTGTGTGACACCTAATTACCCTCCCACACCCCCCACTCCACGTCCTCAAACCTGTGACTGTGGCTTACCCTGCATCTAGAGCATCTCCCCCCCCACCACCTCACCCCACCCACGTCCCCCAAACCTGTGCCTTACCCTGCATCTAGAGCATCAATCTCTGGATGCTGTCCTGTTGTCCACACTTTGTAGTTGTGGGTTGTCTTGAAGGCATTCACAAAGTGGAGGTTGAAATCTTCCAGCTGTTTTTGTTCTGCAATATGATATGTTATAACACTATGATAAATAATGGAATGGGATATGAAACAGGTTATAATTTGTAAACTCTGTTTCTCTCCTTCTCTCTCACACAAACAATCACACACACAAAAACACATGCACACTGACAGACACTCTCTTTCAGTTTCTCCTCCACACTTTATTTTATATCGCTCTTATGCACACTGAGACATAAACATTTCTCTCTTTCTCACACACTCAGGCTCCACACAACTTCACACACATATACACTCTCTCTTTCTTTATCTTACACACACAAACACACACACCTTTCTCATTCTCTATTTTTCACTTTCACAAACATACACACACACATTCGCTTTCTTTCACTCTCTCAAACACATGTTCACATACACACACACACATGCTCTCTCTCTCTCTCTCTCTCTCTCACACACACACACACACACACGACACACTCTCTCTCTCTCTCTGTACCTCTCTCTCACACACACACACACACACACACACACACACACACACACACACTAGCTATAGTCTATAACCTACCTCCTTTCTGTACTGTGGCCAGCAGTGACATGAGGTACACCTTGAACTGTACCCTGACCCACTCATCACCACCTTCCCAGCCTGGAGACACACAATACAGTATTACTATTACTTCATGTCACAGAGTTATCACTGTCCATATTACATATGTATATCATTGTGTGAATCATTTATTCAGTGATTTACAGTAGGTACATCTAATAAAATAGGAGATTATGACACAGCTGAGAAGAGCTTTGTCATGACCCAAGCCCAGTATCTAATTTTAATTCTTCTTTAAGCCCCATTCATAAATATTTCAATTTCCAGTTCTGAATTTAAGTGTTATCTCTAAAAGGAAATCAACTTCTGATACTCATATTTTTACATATTTATTTTATTTTCCAAATTCTTATGTTTACTTATCTGTATACACATGATCACCAGATGTGGATAAAAGATAGTCCAACATCTGACACAGTAGTGAGTTTTAGACATTTGGTAACCTCAAGATAAAAGATTTGAAGTTTCTAAGAAAATTTAAAACAAATTTTAAACAAAACTCCCTGCTCTCAGTATCACCAATACTTGCCTCAGCTCCCGTCTCTACTCCCTTCCCTCACCCCTCTACCAGCATGCATCCACACCCCACTCCCACCCACCCCCTCCCCCTCTTACCTAGCTCTAATTCCTTAAATCCTGACTTACTGGTTCCATCTAGATAAGCATCCGTGCTGTCTCCTTCCACAGTTTTCAGGAGATAATCAGCAAACCTCAGGTCTGCAGTGGACAGGGCCAGCTGTCTCTTCAGTTCACTGTCATGGATTGTGATCTTGCTTTCCTCGGTCTGGGGAGGATTACAAAAAAATCATTCTCTCTCATTCTCTCTTTTTTTTTTTTACTGTAGTAGCTATGGGTATCTATCTATCTATCTATCTATCTATCTATCTATCTATCTATCTATCTATTTATTTATTATGGTTATCAACAAAAATCAAGTTTTCTGCAAATTTTTCTCCAACTAGTCTTCATGACTTAAGTTGGTGTAAATTATTACAGACAGGTTTAAATCAATTATGAAAAAGTCATGATTTATAACAAGTTATATATAGTTTTCATTAAAAACTTAAGATTTGAAAGGCATTTCAGAAATACATGAGATAGATATCTTTTACATTATTTTCTACATACCTCAACAATGACATCAGTGAGATGCTTTTTCTGCCTGAATAAAACATTTGTAGCACCAATCACAAAGCTTCTTACATTCACCTCCTCTAGTAAATCCAAAAATTGTAACGAGAGATATGGATGGCAGAGAGAGCCCTGGAAATATTTAAAAAGCCAATCAAAATAAATCTTGCATAATATTTGCCTTCAGCATTGATTTCCAATATTTAATGAAAGTTGTTTTTTTAAATTAAATCTAAGTCTTACCAAGGCATACCAGACAAACACAAGCAGTACTAGTGGAATTAAAAGTCGAGTCATAGGCCTTTTTCACATTGAGCTCATTTTGGTGTAAAAATATTTAGGACAGGATCTAAGAAGTTATATACTCCCTTTTACAAAATCTATCACAGCTGTTAATAAGCCCCAATCAAAGTACCAATCAAACTAAATCTGATTAACTGGCTATGTTAAGTACAGAGGCTCCATTTGGGTGATTTTCTTACATGACAGCCACACGACTAAGTTGTCAATTTCCCCAAGTATACTGATACAGATATATGTATTGATCGATGTGAAAAAGGCAGAAATTTACCTTTGTGAATATAGACAGAGGAAATCCGCATTCATCCACCACAAAGTTTATGGGGGACATGGGGCGTACTTTAACCTTTAGCCTTGTGGGGCTGTTTGGGCTTTCTGGTTCCTCACGCCTCTTTACCCAGTCAACACTTGAGCTGAAGGCTAGACTAAAACTCTCCCTCAACTTAGCACTAATGTTACTGCTTGTAGATTTATCAGAGCTAACACTATCACTGTGAATAAGTTCTGGCTTTGATTTCGCATCAGTGCCTGCCGAGGCATCCTTTTCTTCCCCATCTTGTTTAGTGTGGTTGATTTCAGCTACTTCATCCGAAGGTTTGCGAAATATCACATTTCTCTTGTTTCTCATTTTCTGCGAGGCTGCTGCGGCAGTAGCCATCGCTGTCATGAAAACTCCATCCTCTGACGTTCCACGCTCGATGTTGATCTCCTGTGGCTCCTCCACCTTTGTACCCAGAAATGTCCCAGAATTCTCGGGTGTCGCCTGATGGTCTCCACCTTTTTCCTCGGCCTCGTCTTTAATTTGTAACATGGATCTATCCTCATTCCACGAAAAACAGTTGTCTTCTGAATCTATCTGTCGCAAACTTTCTGGGGAATCCAGATCCTCCAAACCCTGCAGATCCATGTTGCCTTCTATGCTATCATCCATCCTGTATGATTGGTTCTGTACTGGGCTCACTCTAGTAATGGCCTCTATATTTCCTAAAGGATCAGGACTCGGGTCCTTTGTGGGTGACTCTTCGAGAATGCTGGAGTCTGTGTACAGCTTGTCGTGGGTTTGTAAATTTTCCTTGTGGGTGATAGATTCTATGTTTAGTGGGTTCAAATCAGGTGCTTTATCATGTGCCCAAGTGTGGTGTCTGTGTTGGTGGTCAGTGTCCACCTTCTGGTCAGCAGCAGTGTCCCAACCAGACTGATTACCACTGGTGGCATAATAGTCATCTACAATGTGCAAAGGATCACTTGCTGCTCGGACTCGGTCCTCCATGACAGACGTTTGACCACCATTTTTAACCCCTTGACTCCTATTATTTTTTGAAACTGATTCCATGGATTTGGAATGTATCTGCGTACAGTCCACTGAGATTTGGCCATAATGATCTTCTTTCCAATCTATATCACTCTTTGAGGCAGACTGACCTTCACCTGGTGACCTTTCATCACGACCTTCACCTGGTGACCTTTGACCCACATCAGACTGACCTTCACCCGGAGACCTTTGGCCTTCTAACACAGGAGCAACAGCATCACTTTCACTACTTTTGGATTTCAGATTGATTTCTGGAGAATTTTTAGAATCTCGGTATTTTATTTCCAGGAATTCCTCCCCACTGTCGTCTGCCTCAGCACTTGTAGAGTGGAGTGTTGGAGAGACTTGCCTGTGCTTTGTATAAGTAGCCGCTTCCTTCAGACCACACTCAACCAGCCCTAAATAGTGAAGAAAAATGCTTAAAGCTTGTTGACAACCTCAAATATTTCTGTAAAGAAGAGAGCACTCAAAAAATTGGTTTAAGTTTTATCCAAAGCACTCGTTATTAATTGTCCAATATCTTTAAAAAAAAAAGAACAGAGTGACCCAAGTTACAAAACTTTCAAAGATATGAACAATAAAACTTTTCACTACCCTTTCACTCAAAACCAGTCACTCAAAACCAGGTAAATGAATACTTGATTTTTTTTTTACACATATTTCAAGCACTGGTACAGCTCTGTATTTCATGTGGCAACCTTTCAAACTTAAAACTATAGCATATATCAATAATATACTACTGTACATACTGCAAGCTGCAGTACAGACAGAGCGACTTAAAGCCAACCTCTCAGAATTTAACCTGTTTGTGACCTGGGATCTCTCTGCACTGTACAAACAGTTAAAATTGACGAGTAAATCTAACTGCTATGAAAAAAGGTGACACCACAGGCTAATTAACCCACCAGGAAATAGTGACAGCAGGGACAAGATGACACTGCAGAGCATCTTGACAGGTGACATGTAGAACAGGACTTTCCTCTCCAGCAGGACAAGCTTGAACAACACCAGGATCTTATATCTGTACATCAGGACCACGTCACGCGCAGACAGACCTGAAGAATAATATCCATCCATTTGAAATCAAATACAGATAGAAGCTTTAAAAGGACAGAGAAACAAAAATACTCCTAAATCTGAGAGAGAGTGTGACGTTAAAGTGTGTGTGTGTGTGGGGGGGGGTATGAGAGAGAGAAAGAGAGGGGAGAGGGAGAGGGAGAAAGAGAGGGAGAGGAGAGGAAGAGAGAGGATTGGGGAGAGTGACAGAGAAAGAGAGAGATGGGGTGGAGGCACTGGGAAATGAATAGGGGATGAGAGAGAAAAAAAGCAAGACAAGGAAGAAAAGGAGAAAAATAGGGGAGATCAGAGAGAAAGTGATTGACCCACTACCATTTCCTTACCTACAAACACTCTAGATCCATCTATGGTGCAAGGCTCCAAGCAAGCATTAAGATGTTTGTAGGTGTCCTCTAGCAGTGAAACAATGGTGAAGTCTCCCTGATCAAAGTAGGCATGGGTGATCAGCTCCAGCTTGCTCTGGAGAATGCTGTACAGGGGCTGTCAATATATAAGTGACAATAAATAATATTTTTTCTTAAATAATGATGACAAAAATGTTGTTAACTCTGACCTTCCACTGTCCATATCCAAAAGTCAATCAAGACAAATAATCAACTTGAAGGTCCTTTGAGGAAGGGTTGAAATGGCATGGCTCAAAGGCACAAACCACATTAAGAGCGCATTCTCAACGAATTAAGCCAAGCTTTACAAAGCCGGTGACCTAAAAATGGCGGACGTACATGAAAGAAAAACCGCCTAATCTTTTAATAGTCTCTCCGCCTNGAAACAGTTAATAACTTTTATGATGAAAAACGGGGAAAAAAAATCAAGTTAAGGCTGGACAGGTAAATGAATCCGCCCACACTCACCAAAGTTGACAGCACACAAACTGACTTCTGCACTGTGCTCCTGGTGACATCTGCAGTGCGGTTTACTAAGTGCTGCAACATAGGATAAGAAAATGGTTCAAAATATGAAAAGGAACACTCAAAATATTATACAACATCAGGGATGTGATTGACTTGGGGCTGATGAGGGGGAAGGGTGGGGGGCTGAAAACTGACCATGTTGTGCAATTATCCCAGAAAAGGTTTAAAACTTATTTACAAAGGCAGTTAAAAAAACCTGAAAATGGGGAAAAAAACTAAAAAAATCACATTCCTGTAAGAAGGGAGGGAGGGTCCTGAAAACTGACAATGATGTGCAATTAATCCGGGAAATTAATGAAACTAAGTTTTAAAAATCCAGTTTAAAAAAAACTGAAAAATTCACATCCCAGTAAGATGTTGAAGGCATTTGTCCCAACTTAAAGCAATAATAACTCTTCGTTTGAGATTCAAAATTCCGCATGAAATACATCGTAAACAACACATGGAAATATATTCTATTGTATTTTAACTCTAAAACGGCCGTTATTGTAGTAAAACTAAAATCTGTGCTTGTCAATAGGGCTTTCGATGCTTTTCTTCCCGGTCATCAAGGCATTCGTTGCTAATGACATAATGGTGTCACGCGGATTCTCGCGTTCATTCAAGACCAAAATAACATATGGCACCAAACGTATTAATGCAGATGCAGACTAAGTTGCGAATTTTTGTACAGTGCGTCGGATAACGAAAAGCCCAGAATGGCACACATTGTGGATATTAATGAATTTTTAACAAAAAGACGAATATATCTCATGAATCTTATATAGTGTTGTTGTTGTCTGCTTTTCCCGCGGTTTTAAGTAGGTCAACAGTGACTATGCGATGTCAGAGAGAGATCCGTCATCAAACAAAAAAAAACGCACGTTTAGGAAAAAAACCCTGGATTAACTTTGAATGCAGGAATGGGGTCGCTGACCATTGGTAAGTATGGGAAAATTGTCCTTTACTCCAGGAAAATCCAATTTTTGGCCAAAATGAAGAGTTATTATGACTTTAAAGGAAATCTACTCCCTGAAGAAAATAACTTATTTAATACTTTTACTTTTCTTCTATTTCTTAATATTTACCAGTAACTTATCATGACGTATGTTCCCATGTGGAAATGTCTTTGAAAATATTTCAGTGTGAACCAGAGTTGATTTTTTATGTTTCCAGCCAATTTGCATAGGTTAACTGACTGCATGCTACCTCAGCAGCTAATGTGATTATATGACATGAGACACATGGTGAACATCTTGCAGTTATTCTTATAACAGTGTGTTGCAAACCTTCTGTAGCACATGCAACCAATTCAATTATGTACAACAATATCAAGCATATGTCACAGCATTCCATCTAATCAATTTTTTTAATGTTTAGTTTTTTATTTTTATTTTGTTCAGAAAATGTAGTGAGAACTCACTGTGGCATCAATCTGTCTGTAACATGACACTCCATACACTGTGTCATTTCTTCCTCCCTGTGCCTTCAGATGGAAAAATATGGTGTCTGAAAATATAGCAAACAGACATATTATATTATTATACAGACATTGGATGTATACACAGATGTTGATTTAGACAGTCTACAAATATGAACGTGTATAATGTTAAATTAAGTGCCATTAGATATCAAAGAAATCACAGTACAAGTAGCAAAAAAAATTGACTCTTTATCACATGGGATGCAGGGGCGGATCCAGAGATATTTTCTGACAGTCTTCCAAATTATCTTTGTTAATTTGTCCTCAATTTTGACCGTCTTCCGACAGAAAATATTAGATACCCGTCAATGTAAACTTAAAAATCTGACCGTCTTCCGGAAGACCCAGAAGACGGCCTAAATCCGCCCCTGGGATGTAATTATTTTTGTTAAAGTATGCCTTACACATACATTTGAAATGCGTAAACAGGCTGTAAAGCTACTTATACATATTTCCTTATCTGTGCTTTTAAAATGACAAAACCCATCAAATAAAAGAACCTTATGGTGCAAAACATCAAATTTAAGTGCAGGGATGAGTTGAAATAATTATTTATGAACAAGTATGAGAAAAAAGTTTTAAAATAACAATTAAATTTTGAGCAAAAATCCCCATATAATATAAAATACATCTTGCATAAGTGTGTATAAAAGGGAGAATGCTTTTTAAGGACATACATATTATAATGCTTATAGATGAAATATAAGGAGGGCAGCTTTGCCACAGTGGAGTTACCTTTCTCATAGTTGTGGGCCCCATCAGGCAGAGCTAGAGAGGGTAGATGTTTCCACTCATCAGGCACCTCATGGCTGTCTACTGGCTCTCCCTTTATCAATGGAGGGTAGGAATACTCAACCTGAAATAAGTTTTTTAAAAAAATAAGATTCAGAATCTGTAAATACAAATTTAAATCAAACAAAAAGAAAGACCTGAACTCTACACGAGTTTCCAAGACAAAATTTGGTCAGTAACACACAAGCACACACACACATGAAGAGAGAGAGTTGGGTTGCTGTAAATAGGACTGTATTTATTTTCCATTATCAGTATATTTGCATTAATTAAAAACGCCAAGTCTGTGAAAAATTGCTTCTTTGCTTGCAACAATTATGATCAGAAGAATTAATAATCAATAAGACACTAAATATGTGCAAATTCGTGACATTGACTGAGGAGGGCTATCTATACCTGACACCCTTTCTTATGATGAAATCCGACCACTATCACGTGCAAGACTGGTCCGTCTGTGCTCTCTGATGCCGCCATTTCGGTTGGTCTTCAGGTTCCGTGATAAATTTTGTCTCTGTTGCTCATCGGGCTTAAGGGGGGAGGGTGGTCATCCTTTTTTCTCAAACCGGATATAGAAGTGTAAATTGACGAGAAAGTTTGTAAGTTGCCATCCAATTGGACACTCGCTAAAAAAGGAACCAATCAGAGCCATGAAAACATCCGTGCGATATTATCATAGACCCATGCAAAACATTTTCCAGTGGCAAAAATATTCATTACTGCTGAGGGAACTGGTAAACAACTTATGGATAATATTTCATATAATTTCAAATCTATTTTATCCTAAGAAATTACTAGTTCTTTACATGCTGTATTCTGACATATTTTGCCCGAAAATAGAATCACGCCGGAAAATGCTGTTGGGCTTGCAATACAATATTTGTTTTAGCTTGCACTAATAGCTAATTCTTTAGAACTTTGGCGGGTTTTTAGAGAAAGTGAGTATCTCATTTAAGTAAGTGTCGCTTTATAAAAGCAGAAATTGAAGCTAATAGAAGTATTAAGATACATGGGCCTAGAAAATAGCCCCTAAAACGCCTTATAATTTCTCTTTCGTGTGGAAGGGTCGTGTACTAGTTTCGTTACGGGATTTCGAAAAGACCGCCGGTCCTCCCCTAAAACCGCCTTTGCGGTAGAATGCATAATTATAATTGCCAAGTGACCCGCAGTATGCTTGACTGATCCACAATTTGACCTTGTGTCAAGCTAAAAGAGTACGATTTCCAGTGGTAATTAGAGAATTGGTTAAGTGTATACAAATTCAGATTGCTTTATTGTTGCACGCTTTCACGTAAAAGCTACACATCTATCATGTATTGCTCTATTCCCCCATTAAGCATTATTCCAACTAAGTTAACATATATAGTTACTGTGCGTAGGACAACAGCATTGCAATATTGAGCCTTGCATAACGTTTTGGGTGAAGTTGTTGCTGTTATAATATAGAGCAAAGGCTTGAGGTTTACTGATAGAAAAGGTCTGGGGGGTAAAGTAAACACTGTGTTTGTCAGGTGTGTTTGCACTTAAGTCCAGGGCTAATTTTACTGTTTCCTGTTGGACTTGGCCCCCTTTTGCTGGAATGAGTTGATTGCTTAATCTGCATTTCAAATTAGAGTTGCAGATAGAGAATTCCACAGACATTAAATTTTAAACTAAAATGGGTTAAATGTGAAAACAACTGCTAGCTGTTGTAAGTCAAAGAGGGGGTAAAAACTCAAACCTAAAGGTTGTGGCAAGTTGGATCTTTTGTCGGTCAGGAGTGTTTCTTGTCTTCACACATCTTAAGCTATATAGTGGACAATCGCTATGGACTTGGAAATTGTTTGTTCACTATATATTGTGTAAATATGTTGAGTGAAAAGGGATGGGCATTGCATAAGGGATTACTGGGGCATATAAGCTCTTGTAGTTTACTGGTTTGTTCACTTTAGCAACGGAGGGGCAAGGTGCCAACATCGGCAAGAATGGGTTGAGCTTCATACTTGGCTTTTGCCATATGGGGTGATTAACCCCGCAGTGTTAACAGAGTCCAGGAGTTTTAATGTTCAGATGACTTGGCTTGTGATACTGGGGAGGTTTTACGCTAGTCTTGGAAGGTGTAGAGGAACGGGTAAGTTGGGCAGAGTTGAGTAGTCGTGGTTGAAATGAGAACCTCTTCAATCTAGCCGCAAAGTAACAGGTTGGCTGCATTGCTAGAAGGAAATTTGTATTGGGTAAAAGGAGATAAGTTAATCAGTTGGGTCAAGTAGCATGGCCATTTCTTTGATAAAAATGCATGGTATATTTTTTTATATATGTAATTTAAATATTTGAATGTATTTATTTAATTTTTTCCATGCTACTACATATAACTATATCTATACTCTAAATGGGAGAGAACTACCAAGAATGTTGCTGTTTTTTTTTTTTTATTTATTTTTAATATACTGTATTCATTTCATGGCATTGATGATTGATTTCATTTTCTTTTTCTTCAGATATAGATGTGTCATGCTTCTCATCCATCCAGCAGCATGTATATCAGCAGTAATCTTAATCATTCTCAGCATCATACAGCTGACCTTCGGCTCCCTCGGTGACGGCACTCGAGTCTTCCAGAAATGTTTACAAAACTGTTATCTGGCCTCGTGTCGCGTGTCGGATGCAGCATGGGCAGAGCAGTTACCGTGGTACATGAGGCTGCTGAACTGGACGTGCCCAGACGAGTGCAGCTACTTTTGCATGTGGAGAGCAGTAGAGGCCTTTCAGAAAGATGGCTCCCCTGTGCCACAGTTTTATGGCAAGGTAAGTTTGTGGAACTGTTTGTGCTTGTGTGTGGGAACTTGTTTGAGACAAGTTTGACAATTCAGATTTAGATGTCTGTTGCTAAATTGTAATTTTTTTTATGTTGATCCAATTCATTGCAAGGTAGTGCCTTTTTTTTTTTTTTTTTTTTTGCTTGATAAGGTGAATTTTGTATAGATCCTGATTAATTGTTTATTTAACCCTCAATCACCTTTCAGGGGCCTCGCAGGCCCGGACCCATGTATCTTTTGCTCTCTCTTCGTTCGCATGAGGTTTTTAGCCTGTTCCTTTCATGTAATCCTCAAGCAACTTATACCCCATCAATGGATAAATAATTAGTTTTGAAATAATTTACAACATATGTAGAAATTAACTTTTCCAAAAGTTAGTCCCATTTCCTGGAAACCGGGCCTCTGAGGCCCGGTCGCTTGATAATTTTACTTCCACATGGGATAAATAAGTCCATGTTACCTCAAATAGCTTTGCTATAAAATGTTTTACACAAGCAATATCATGTGTGCTATGACTATCAGTATGGTCAATGAAATCTGCCTGTGAAAGATTCAAGACCTGGAGAAATTATTATTTATGAGTAATCGGTCACCTTGGTCACCTGATATGCAGATATCAGTTTAAATCT